GTGAATACCACTGAGATTCAGTTGAGGTTATTGTTAACATACATATTCTAAATTATTTAAATTGCTTCTGCTAAAGGTTAGCAGTCAGAAAAGAATATCAATTCTGTTTAACTAGTTTAAACCAAAGACCAGCAAAAATTCAGATCCTACATTTCAAAATTTTAATTCAGCTTCTTGGCAACAAAGGAGAAAAATTATAGGAAGAGTTTACTGAAATATATATCTTTCTATACAACATGATGATGGAGAATATTTGGAGATGGATAGAGTTGCTTCACAGGCAGGATTTGACCTGCCACATGGATGGTTCATTTCTAATTTATAAACCCAAAAGACAGGGCTTTAGGTTTAATATGGTAACCAAGAAAAGGCAAATCAAATCAGCAAAACAGCTCTTTAAATATGTCCTTACTCATACCTGAAATAATATGTCTGAAAGAAAAATAAAAGATATAAGTCTGACAAGCCATGCTTCAGCAGAAGGCCTTTCTCTGACATAGTTAAAGCATTCATGGAATATCAGAAAGTGAAATAAGATAACATTCCAATACTGAATGTGTTCCCTTTACAATGAGACCTCTTTCCAGAGGACAAAGATGTAGAAATAACTTTAAGAATGTTTTATCCAATGACCAGCGTGTAATTATATCTGCTCTATGTAAAGAGAATTAACTCCTGGTCTGTAGTTTAAAAAGATTAATTTCTTGGAGAAGTCAATTATAAGAAAACAAATGAGAAAAAGAGTCTGTAACAGTCAATGATTTTACCAGATTCAAAAATCCAGTTGTGCAGTTAGAGCATTGTTTTTTTTTAACACAGACTTGATGAAGAGAAATACAAGACAAATAATTTAGCAAAAACTTTTTTTTTTGCCCATTACTTTAAGTCTGTGACAAAGGAAATATCAATGACAAACATATGAGAAATTAACACAGAAATTTTACAATAACAATGCAGAACAGACAGAAATATTCAACTAATATTTCTTCACAATATGATCCCATCCCAGTCATGAATGCCATATGTTTTTGCCTAAAATAATATGGAAATTTTTAGTACATGAGTAATTTAAAAAGAAATTATTACTGGTCTGCCTGAACAATTAATGTTGCTATTCAATAAATTCTGGTATGTTAAGGATGTAAAACATAGATAAAGCCAAGGACAACACAAAAAATATGACCTTGATTTTATAATTCTATCTGTGCTGGAATCACTAGGAGGTAAAACAAATGGAGTCCTGGTATTTGATGTAATCAATACCAAAAATGATTGTGTGATTAGTGACAATAAGCATGTCAAACTGGGCAGATTTCTGGGTGAAATTGTTGGATATGATTGATGAAGATGACTGCACTGACATACGTGTCTCTAAAGTGACAGACATCCTGCAGTATATCAACCTAATTAAGTGACTGGCATTGCACAAAATCAGTGCAACACACAATAATTAATTGTGAAGCAGCTAAATGGTGGATCTACAAACGCCAGTATGGACAGCTAACCACCATCCCTTGGGCAATGCTTGAGGAATTGGTAGGGTTCTGCTGTTTCTCAGAAGCGGGTTTTTCCCGACGCGAGGCTGGTGCCAGACTCCCGGGCCAGCCCGGGCGGGCGCACGGCTCCGCAGTGCCCAGCTGGCTGGTGCCGCTCCAGCGGCCCAGATCCCTGCCGGGAGCTGGCACCGGCTGCTTGCTGAGCTGGGCATATGCAGCAGCCGCAGCACCAGCTCCCTTGGCCCGGGGTGGCATCCTGAGAGCTGAGCGCCTCTCTGATGAGAAGTGGAGGGAGCTGTAAACACGCCCTTGGCGCCGCTGCCGTGGGGGATTGAGCCCCGCATTTCAGAAAACGCTGTCCTCTGCTGCTGCATAAATTTATGAGGGCTCTGAAGAAATATTTAACAACATTAATGGTAAAATTTTCAGATGACATGAAATGCATAAAGCACTAAATAATGCAAAGAAAAAGTTTTTCTGTAGGGAAATTGACATCCTTTAGTGAGCGAGGATCATTTGAACGTGCTTTTTGAGACAGCTGAATGCAAGGTCATTCAGCAGGAACAAAGAATGTAGGTCACGTTTAGAAGACTGGAGACTGTGTCCTGGAAAGCAGTGACTCTGAAAAGGAATTAGGGGTCACAGTGGTTAGCCAACTAAAGAGAAGCTCCCAGAACAATGTTCCAAAGCATTTGGTACAGCCTTCAAGATACAGGAGTGTTGGGTGGTGACATAACTGTATCTGATTCTACTTTGACAAAGGTGCTCAAAAATTACAAATGTTCAGAAAAGCTGAAACTGTTGCAAGATTCTTAAATCTGAAAAACTTGATCAACAGAGATGAGAAGTCAAAGTTACTTTGTCCAAAGTTAAATGACTGTACTGTGGTTTATAAAGATGCATTTACAGGGGTCTTAAAAATACACAGTATTTCAAAGTCTGTCCAACAAGGAAAGACAATTTTCTATTAGGAAAACAGTATACTTTGTTAACAGGATTATTCTATAGCTGTTGAAATGTTTTATTCAGGTTTTGTTTCTATTTGGAATTGCATTGTTTTAATTCAAATGGAGAACAAACACAAGAAAAAATGTAAAGCATATTTTAAAGTGCTTTAAAAATAAAAGCATGGTCAGAATGCTTGACAAACAGATTACACTAGTGTGTTGTGTCTTTATGTTAGACACAAAACTTCAAATGAACAAAACAACATATTTTAAAAGATACTTTCCTACTGGTTTTATACTCTTGCCTTAATTTATACTGTATTCTTTTCTTTTGACCTTCTTTGATATAGGCAGAGTGAAAGTCTTTCTTGAACATCTGTGAAATATTTTGAACACTTAGGCTAGATGTTAATAATACATGTCAGAGAGATGTAAACACCAATGGGAGAAATAAATTATGTACGTGAATACAGGGCACTATAGCTAAAGTAATGAGTCGAAACATAAGCAACTTCCATTAACCTGATCATCAGAAAAAAATAATCTTTATCATTGGAGGAATTCAACTTTAAAGGGATGTTTCCTTTGGGGAGCAGAAGCCCTGAGATATTTAAATGAGATATTTACAATGAACTGAACAAAATAGCACTGAAGAATGTTAAAAAACACTCCTTTTTCAGGACCACAGTGGTATTTTCCATCTCTAATCTTTGTGATTGTCTGCTTTTTCTTATAATTTAAGACTGTCATGAATATTTTATTTGATTGTTGACCTACAAAAGAAGTGGTTTAAAGAATAAAGTTTTGTTGTAAGACTACCAGAATTCTTTTAATATTAGTTTCCATTCTCCCCCCGCATATACCAAAGTTACCAATATCACTGGTATCTGTTTTGTCTAAGTACAGACCAGGACATTTTCAAACCCAACAGACTAAAAAGCTGGTGAAATACTCAATGTGGATGTGCTTATTTTTTAGGAACTGGCACCTGAAAAACAAGCCTTTATAGTAAAGTGACTCTTCACCTCATTGTCCATCGGCGAAGAGTTAAGTAACTTAGAACAAGACCCCAAAAAACTAAGCTAGGTGGTAAGAGTGTGCTGAGGATACAATTGGACGTTGAATTCTGACTCTTTTTGATATTCAGGTATTTTAATACTATTACTCATTTGAGCAGAGGTTTTTCTGAAGATTATAGGTTCTCATTTCTCTTTCAAATCTAGGGGAAAATGTGTAGCCAGAAGACTCCTGTTTGCTCTGTTCTTTAGTGATTAAAAAACTCCTCCAGGATGATGAAGACAAGGCAACAATTAATTTTTCTCCTTTAGGGAATCTCCTGTCTCTTGAGAACCTACATGTGGACTTCTCTGGGGGATAAGAAAAGAAAGGGAGTGCTCCATCCCCTTCTTTTGAGCCTCTTACATTTTTTGTAGATGAAAGGTTTGGTTTGCCTTCAGAGAGATTAAACAGGAGACTCTATTCTGATTAAAGGTCTGTCAAAGGGACCAGGGCACCCTGGGCTTAAGTCCCTGCTCCACTTATTGTCCCTGGATTTATGGATATAAAACACATAAATTGTCCGTAATACAGACACACAAAGCCATCTTTTGTCCTTCCCAAATGAGTGCCATAACCATGAGGTTACAGACTAATTCCCTCTCTCTGATCTAATGCATTTTTAATTCTTTTAGAGTGGAGCAGCTCCAACAGAAGGGACAGACTGTGTTTTCTTCTCTTCCATGTCCCTCTGGACCACAGGCTGTTTACCTGACAAGCAGAAGAGGGCTGAAGTCTTTGCTGCACAAAGGGGAGCAAACCAGATCCTTCATTGCGAGAAGGATCTCACCACTGAAATTTTTACACTAAAGTGAAGAATAACAAGCCTATGAGGACAAAGCACCAAGTAGGGCTGAAGTTTTGTGTGGAGGTTGACTTGGCAAATATGCTCCAAGACCTGATGGGCTCAGGGGTCGGGTGACTCAGATGAAGCCTGAGATGCCTTTAGCCAAATACACATTCTGAGAAATTTCATCCTAAAACCTGTAGCATCTATGGAATTTAGTCACCTCCAAGGTCAGTTGTAACTAAGCGAGTGGTATGAATAAGCATGGCTCCTGGTTTTAATGCCGAAATTCCACATCAATCCCACATTCAACACCCAAGTCACGTCATGGGGCTTTAGGAACTCGGTGGGATTTCAGCACCTCGCGCCCAGGCGAACCTCCTGGACATGCCAACATACCCATTTGCTAAAATTACTTCCCAAGGCGCTTTTCGGACTCGGGCCAGATGCCCCCCTCGGCAGGCACAGCTCTGTCCCGGGCACAGGCAGCTCCGGATCGGCCACGTCTCCCGGGCCGGGGCTGCCCGGGGCGGAGGGAGGCGCCGGGCGGGCCGGGATGTGCCCCGGGGAGATCCCGCCGGGATGGTGCCCGATGGGCCCGGCAGGGCTCGGCTGGCACCCGGCGCGCTGCCCGGAGCGGCTCCAGCATTCCCGCAGCGCCCGTGGAAGAGCGGGCCCGCAACGGGAGGGAGAGAGGGGGAGACAGCGGCGGCGGCGCCGCCCTCTGGAGAGCGCCTGGGAGAGGCTGGTGTGAAGAGCCGCATTTCAATGAGGGCCGGGCTAATGCAAATCACTGCAACCGGCAGCAGCAGAAGAAAGGCGAAGCAGCTGCAGCCCGGGCTCCCCAGCAGCGCGCTACAGCCAGGGGAGGCGTAACAAAGGCAGCAGAGCCGCTTTCTGCGGCAACTACTGCGCCTACAGCCGGGTGGTCGCGGGGGGAGGGCGGGAGCCGCCGCTCTTTGGCCGCTTCCCATTCCGAGCCGCCGCCTTCCCTCCGCGCCCGGCCGGCCGATCTGAGTGAGGAAGTGCCCGCCAGGCTGCGGAGAACAGGTAAGCGCCGGGGCCGGGGCCGGGGCTGGGGCTGGGGCTGGAGCCGGGGCCGTGCTTGCCCTGCCCTGTCCTGCCCTGCGCGGGGGCTGCGGCGTGAGGGGCCGCCGGGGCGCGGTCGCGGCGCGGAGCGATGCACCTGTGCCCATTGTGTGGGGCGGCGGCCTCCGCCGGGGGCCGCGGCGGCTCCGCGGGTGCGGAACGAGTGCCGGGCTGCGGGAGCGGGTCCGGCCCCCGGGAGCGGGCGCGGCGCTGCCCCGGTTGCCCCGCGGCTCGGGCATCCAGCGGGGGCTTGAGGTGCCCGGTGCCATCTCCGGAGGAATGGGCGTGTGTCACACACGGTTCCCCCACCCCAGCAGAATAAGCCTCATCTTTTTGTGAGCCCGCTGCCGCATGCATCCGTGTTCCCCCACCAGACCCGCCGCCCTCCCCCGGTGGCTAGTGGTCATCCGGCTCTGCTTGGTCGCCGTATGGTCTGCGCTGGGTCCCAGTCACATCGCGGCGTAGTGTGGTGGGTTTTTTTTTGATCAGCATGCGTGTTTTTTTCATGGAAATGCTCACCCACACCTGTATTATAAATAATTCTTTAACAGATGTTCGGGTGTGAAGTGTTGGCATGGTGGTTTTTCAGGGGCGTGTCTGTTCGTTTTTGCGTATTTGCCTGTATAAGACTATGTATTTATACACACAAACGGAAACATCCGATCAAATTGTTTAGCATTTCTTTGTCTGCTCTGACCTTGTGGTTTAGACACGCTTTTCCCTACATACCAGGACTGTGGAGCTATAGGGGAGCTCTATTTCGGTTTTGAGGATGTAGTTGGGAATTACAGATAATATTGATAAAAGCATAAACGTGTGGAAGAAAGGACAGTGACTCACACTTGTTCTTGCCCCTCATCCAAAATTAATAAAGCTGAAAGAGAATATCTTCGTCTAAACTTTTTTTTTTTTTTTTTTTTTTTGAAGGGAGTGTATTAGAGATGGTTTAAGCAAAGATAACAGCAGACCTAAGAAAAATCCATTCTTTTTGGAACGGGAATTGCTTGAGAGATACAGTTTCTGAATTGTGCATTCTGGGATTGTTTAAATCTGAATAACAGGTTCTCACTGGAAATGGATGGGAATTGAAATAACTGACAAAAATTTTTTTAACATGGAAGCAGTGATGGTGTGTTCTCAATCGTAAAATGTGGCCACTAAGCTGTATTTTGCATTTAACATATAGAGTGAAATGCCACAGCAAATGTTCTTGTTCATTTCACTGAAATGGGATGTAGTGTGCATGGGAAAAGCAGAGATTAGTCTTTTTTTTTTGCATGTGTAAGAAAACACATACCCTGTACTATATGTGGGTACTTCTGAAGGATTTACAAGTATAAATCCTGCATTTTTTATACATAAGCATATGATCCTGTGTCAGTGTAACAAAGTCAGTTGTGAGCTGTAACCAAAGTAGGGTAAATAATTTCCACTAGGGCACCACATTTGCCTTAGGTGCCTGTGCTGGTCCAGCACATGGACTGCTCTGAGAAGTTGCTGAGCACATCACCTACAGCTTTGCAGCATCAGGGTCCAGCTGTATAATCATTGGTTTAATACAAACTTCTGCAAGTCAAAGAGCATCTGTAAGTTTTCCTCTATTTCCTCCCACTGTTCTACAGCTGGTTTGAATACATCTTTTTTTTCTTAATGGTCACATCATTATGAGTGGTTGAAACAAAGCTAGTGCTTGCTGGTTTTTTGTCTTTTTATTGGAAATCAATGAGAGAGGCCACTTCTAAATTAGGTCTATGTATCTGTGCTATAAATAAATTTTCAGTGCTTTACTATTCTGCAGACAACTGCAAACCTAGGTGGCTCCTAAATTAAAATTAATATGTTTAGAACCTAATGATCTTTTGATTATTCTATTTTTTTGTATTTTTGTGTCTTCTGTTTGCAAAGATTAATGTGTACTTTGTATTATTTAGTCTTGTGTTGGTTGTCAAAAAGTAACAGAAGTATCTGCCTCCTTGATTTTATTTCAGAACATGTCAACTTCTGTTTATGTAAACTGTATTGAACAACTGGGATTGTTTTGGTCAGGGCTAATGGGTGTTTCTCACAGTCAAACATGGGAGGCACCAATTGCTTATTTGCTCAATGGCACTGGTTTTATCACTCCTTTGGTGGTGGCAAATGAAGCTGTTTGCCTTAATCAATTTGAATATTAGGCTTAGGATATTAATAATACATCTTGCAAGACATAGAGCCCTGAAGTAGCTTGCTCTTTGAAAAACACTGTCTCCTAATATATTTCTTCTTTATTTTTGTGCCCTTTGAGCCCATCTGTTGGTTCACAGTGTGTAAAGCATTTGTGCAAGGACAACTGAAATAATTTACTACAAAGCTTAGGCTATGAGGAAACCAATAGTTGGAACATGCAGGTAGTTTTTAACATTGGGATTGACCCACTATGTGTGATAGTCCTGATTCTCATTGCCAACCTGCCTGATCTATTCCTCTGAAAATTTCTTAATTGCTTAGTTGTTGGCAACTGGCAGCCCTTCTGAAACAACACCTCTTGAGGTCACAGTTGGAACCAAGAGTTTAGTGGGGGCAAACAGCTGAGAAGGTAGATGAGACTCAAATAGCACCTGAATATAACATGAGAAAAAGTAGAAAGCTGATGCATTTATTCCTTTTTTCCAGTAGGTCAACTTGGTCCCCTCATTTTCCAAGATACTGAATTTGAACAAACACTTCTCAGTGTTTGCTTATCATTAGCATTTGGGTTCATGAGTGATGTTATTGGGACATTTAACTTAAATGTAGTACTTAAGGAATGGCAAGAGGCTTATGTGTGAAATGACCACATGACTGTAGCATGGTTTTATTCAAACTTTTTTCTCAACCTAAGAAGTAGTCCTCTGTAAGAGCGTTGTATAGAAGAGGAAGTCTTTAATTGAGCTCCCTTGAAACTTCTAGGTTTCTTAAGCTTTTTCTCTCCTCTTGTGCATTCCTTAGGTTGAACTTCCAAGATGTCCCTTGGGAGAGATATGGAGCTGGAGCATTTTGATGAGCGTGACAAAGCTCAGCGATATGGCAGAGGGTCCCGGGTGAATGGTTTGCCCAGCCCTACCCACAGTGCCCACTGCAGCTTTTACCGAACCCGCACTCTACAGACCCTGAGCTCTGAGAAGAAAGCCAAGAAAGTTCGTTTCTACCGTAATGGAGACCGGTACTTCAAAGGGATTGTATACGCCATCTCCCCTGACCGCTTCAGGTCCTTCGAAGCTCTCCTGGCTGACCTGACCCGAACTCTGTCCGACAATGTGAACCTGCCCCAGGGAGTGAGAACGATCTACACAATCGATGGCTCCAAGAAGGTTTCCTCCTTGGATCAGCTAGTAGAAGGTGAGCAGTAGGATCTGGAGGTGTAGAGTTAGGTTTGAGTTGGCCTTTGTCTAAGCTTTTAAGTCTTTCAAAAAGAGGTGATGGTATTTTTATTGATAAAGGAAGGATTTTCAATGGTCTGACTAGAAATGTGGATATCTTAAATGACACTTTGAAATATTGTTGCCTTGCTACTTCTTTCCTTCTTGTTGAACGTGTCTAACCTTTTCCTTTCAACATAGTGTTGATAGTCCTGTATCCTGAAGATTGCATCTAATCATTCTTTTTATAAAGATGCAAGGTCAAACCAGTGAGAGTTTAGTCTGTTGAACTTCAAAAGTTCTGTGGTGCTAATGAAACCTATGTGAAATTCACTTCAGATGTTTTTGGTTTTTTAAGTCTCTGAAACCTAGTGAAGAGCTCTACCTTTTCTCTACAGGTAAATATGTCTTAAGTAAAATACTAGCCTCTCCTTGCATGGCATAAATGTTGACAACCTGTTAAAAGAGTAATATTGTAGCCTTGATTCAGCTAGGGTAGATTGTAAACATTTTTTCCTCTGGGGTACATTGTAAACATTTTTTCCTCTGTAGCATATCCCTTTTCCCCAGTCATAGAATTGGTAAGGTTGAAAATGACCTCTTACATCATTGAGTCTAACCATTAACCCAGAACTGCTAAGGCCACTGCTAAATTGTGTCCCTAAGTGTCACATCTGCACATCTTAGAAGCTTACAGGGATGGCCTGTTCCAGTGCTTGACAGCCCTTTCCATGAAGAAATTTTTCCTAATACCCAATCTAATCCTGCTCTGGCTCTACTTGAGGCCTTTCCACTTATCTTATTGCTTGTTACTTGCGAGGAGAGAACCAACACCCGCCTTGCTACAACCTGCTTTCAGGAAGCTGCAGAGATCTTAGGTTGTATGTAAATAAGGCTCATGTACCTGCAGTATAAACCATCACTAGAGGTTTAGTCAGAACCAACAATTCTTGGTCCCTGTTAAATGTCAGACATGCTAGTCATTAATTATCCCATTGAGAACAAATTTATCACTCCTTCAGTGATAGTTCTATTGCCAAAAGAAGCTGTTAGCATTAATCAATTTGAATATTGAATTTAAAAAATTAATAGTACTTTTCTCAGGTATTACAAATAGCTAAAGTAGCTTTTCCAACATGAAGTGCTTCTGGACTGCAGTGGATTTCTGGTGTAAAACATCAGAATGTACAGAGTATGAAGGCATTGACTATCACATGGCTATAAATGAGATTATTTCTTACCCATGAAGTTCAAATGCAGGTACTTGATTGTGTTCCAAGAAAATAAAGGTGGAACAATTAATTCATGTTTGCTTCTATCATCCCCCCAGCCCCTGTGTGCCATGGACAAACCAGTAAAGAACGGATAGATAGCCACCAGACAGCCAATTTAGAGTTGTAACAGAGATTGTAATTTCTATGTGATTTTCATTTTTAGCATCAGGTGAGAGAACTTACAGTAACAGGATGTAATAAGAGGATCAGAATAAGGCTAATATGGAGAGAGAAGAATAAAAGGGTAATGGCAAATGTGGCTCCTGAAAGAGGAGTGCAGCTTTGCATAGCAGGTGTTCAGCCACCATTGGGTTGTCTCCTTTTTGTGTTGTAGCAGAGGAAAGCTTTTAAGTACTGAGAACCTGATATTCTTGATAATCTTCCTTGTGTAAAAAGGAAAGTAGGGGGCAACACGAAGATGCTTCAGAAAGAAAATTGAAGGGGCAGGATTGTCTAAGTAACAGGTTTGGGGGTTAGGGCCAGAGGTGTTGTGAAATGGAAAGCAAACTGGTCTGAGGAGCAATGTTATCAATTTCAGGGCACAGTTAAAACTATGTTTGTCAGGACAGTATTTAATTGGCAGAGAAAATCAATTTCTGGGAGGAAAGACCAATATTAATCAACGTCTGTTTAAAAGCAGACTTTGGGCATTTGCTTCTTTGATTGGTATGCTCAACAAGAAGCAAGTTTCATTGATGTTAATGTTGATTTGCCCAGTCCTTCTGCAGCCAGTCAGAACCAGTTTTGAAAATAAAGAACTGAATTCAAAAATAAATCCAGCAACCTGTAAGATTGGTTTATTTTGGCATCCTAGTCAAGAATAATACCAGCTATTAATCAGTCAGTCAAAATGAATGACAGTGTAAGGGCCTAAGTTTATTTTAAAGAAGGCATTTGGGATTTCTTTTTGTCCTGTGAGACTTTGTTCCTTACCCTTCCAATGAATACATCTTCCCTTCCTGGTATAGTTCAAGGAGGACAGTCTTGTTTTCTTGTCCCATTAGGACTGTGGGACTTACAAAAGTCAGTCTTTGTGTGGAAGAAGAGAGAGCTACATCCTCATTCTATCTGAAAAGGGGCTTCTGTTTATTTGTATAAAACTGCAGGGTGGGTTGTTTCACTCACAGAACTTCACAGTGGAGCATGGGTTCATGTATTATTAGCTCAGTGATGGTTTTTGCATAAGCCTCTTCCACTCCTTACTATACAAATTTATAAGAGTTTGGCTCGTCTGGTACAGCATTAATTAGCTTGAAGCTGTGCTTTGTGTTTAAATAGCTGGAAAATCACTTGATTTTTGCCTCTTGCCAAATGACATTTGTGCTCCAACTACTGAAATATGAAGTACTGCTTTCTTCATGGTGAGACTATTCCCTTCCTGTGTGAATTCACTAATTAATTTATTGAGACTGTTATGAATTTATGTGATTGGAGGAACATTGATTTGGCAATTCCAATGTAAAGCAAATGTACAAAGCCTTGATTTTTAGAATTGGTTTTTGCCTTTATGCCTGAGGAAGTGAGGAAGTTCCTGTACTCTTACCTTCTCATGTGGTACATAAAGACAGAGAGGCTCTTGAGGGAAATGAGACAGCAGCCACTGTCTTTCATCCCAGAGCTAAATACACAGAACTGCATGAAGTACAGTCCCAAAGGAAAAAGATTGTAAAAGAGCTGTTTTGCTTCAGCTGTATTTAGCTTCATTCTGCATACAGTTCAGAGCTGGCATGGCTGTGCGCTGGTGATGTCAATTATTTTGAGATGCACGTTTTCTCTTTATTTGAAAGTAATGACATCCCTAGATGTGGGGGTTTTGTGGGTTTTTGGTTTGGTTTTGGTTTTTTGTGCTTGCCCCCCCCTTTTTTTTTTAATTTTGTTTTTCTTAAGACTTACGTGTGTGAGATTTGTTGGAATTTGATAACAAAAGGCAGGTGCTGTTGTAAAAAGTTTCACGTGGTCTGTAACTTCTGTCACCCTACATGAAGGAAATAATGCAATAGATTCAAGTTCCTTCTTTTTGTCAGCCTGCTGTTTGGACCCTGTCACATTTAAAGAATGGATTCTGAATATAATGTGACGTGACTTTATTTCCTAGGCATGACATGCAATCAAAGCATGTAGAAACAATAAAGATGAAGTTGCTCTTGAAGGCTAAATTTTTTAGCTGTAAAGGAAGTTTCAGGAAAGAAATATTTGCTTTTCCAAAACTGTATCAACCTTAGAGCAACCAACCTTAAAGGTGGAGACCTCTTACCCCCAAAATAAACCATGAACATTGCAAAGTAACTCAGAAATAAAGAATATTTATATGGGGTCCTGCTATGTGGAACAAAGACCACAGTATCAATCTGTAGCCAGAACTGCATCTCTCTCATTAATTTTATAATAATATTACCTCAGAGTTTTGAGTATGAATTAGAAAGGATTTTTGTAAATTTCTACAATACCTACACAAAGTTAACCCTGCAGATGAGAGCTGGCAGTCAAAGACCAGCCGAAAGCCCCAGACCACAAGGCTGAGAGCATACTGGGAAACAATTTTGTCACATGTCAGTATTGAGTACACTGCCAAATGATTCTAAAGACTTCTGTCTGTGTCTGCATGTTTTGTGTAGGCATAATGGCCAAAACAGTTTTAAGGAATAATCTCAAAAAGAAAAATGAATGCCTCTCAGGGATTACCTCAGAGCCACAAACCTTGAAGGAGCAGTTTGAAAGGATGCAGATATGCCAGCTTTAAAATCCAGTAATAGCTGTAGCCAGCTAATAACTCCTGGGAGATGTGAACCTTGCTGCAGGGCAGAGGAAATGCTGGGTCACATGAGGACTCGGGAAGGCTCTCGTGATGGTGGCAGGCAGTTTGTGCTCAGAGCAGCAGAGAAGCTGCCTGCCACTGCAGGGTTCAAAAGGCAGCGTCTCCTTGCTGCAGTGATGGGCTGCAAGAGGTCCTGACCTGTTTTGTATGTGGGTCTTGCAACTCCTACTGCCACCTCATTTCTTGTATCTCAGCTTCTCCCTCTCCTTCCCAATATTCCTGCTGCCTTCTTGACTCTGCCAGCCACTCGGGTGTTGTTGGTGAGGAGCCCAGCCAGGCCAGTCTGTAGGAATTGATTGTCATGGTCTCTGATGCTCTCTAGAGCTAATGGCTTCTTTATTCTAGATCAGGCCTACCTCAGCAGCTGGGAATTGATGGGCTGGAAAGATTCATATGCATGTGTAATGTGCTATCAAAATAATAATAGTAAAGTATCTGTTTAAATGTTTGTAGAGCTGAATCTCTGTGGACATTTGTTTGTAGGATTAAATTTACACTGGATATTTACCATGGACTTGATCCAGGGCTATCAAATTTAGGGAAACTTGGACTGAATCCTGTGGCAGAAACGGCTGCAATCCTTATATTGTTTAATAAACAAACAGCTGAATGATCCTGTTGCATAAAATAGTAGAGGGTTGTTCTGGCACTATTTATTTGATTATTTTTTCATCCATTAGCCTGTAGATCATCTTTTGTCTTGCTTTACAGCTTCTTGGAAGTCCATGTGATTTCCTATTCTAGGTGCTTTACATTATTTTTGGTGGGCTTTTTTTAAGTGTCTACAGTGTCTATCTTAGTTGTAATAAGATTGCAGAAATTTGAGGGGACAGAGGAAGTATTTTTGGTGAGGGGAAGTAACCCCAACTTTTTAGTCTGAACTGAGAAGAAAATAAGTTTGTGAAAGAAGTCCTTTCCAAGGTCAGAGGAGATCTGATTTGAAGTTTCTTGTGCATCTGATTGCTGGATGAACATGTGTAGGTCAGATTTATTTCCTGTAGATGCTCCATCTCTTTTGCACTGTTGCATTTTTTTCAGACCCTGCAGGAAGACAAGGCAGCAGCAATGTAGTTAAAGTAGGTTATTGTTCTATTAACTAACACATTAGGGAGCTATCAAGTATCAGTAATTTATTTCATTCAGGCCATCTTCTTTTTGCAATCTGCTCAGTGTAGTGAGGCACAGTCAGAATTTTCTGTCCTTTCTCCAGATAAATTGAGATTCTGCATTTTGTATGTATAAAACTAAAGGGTAGAAGTGAAGAAAGGCACGTTTGCTTAGACATGGAGTGCTGGGTGCTAGTCCTTTCCCCATCCTCTTAACATATTTCTTGTCCTATCTGTTGGAGAAATGGACCCCAGTAAATCACTGCTAATTAGTTAATTAACTTTATATTCCTACTACATACTGTGCTCCAAGGAATCAACACTATTTTCCATAAATTGGCAAATCCTGACCTCCACAAAGAGGGGTTGATGTTCCCTCTCTGTTTGTGAGATTCAAGCAGGTTCTCTCTTCCTTCTCCAGGGTTTCCACCTAAGATAACTGGCTTCCTCACAAAGCCATTTTAGGCTAAGTCACCTTAAGCACAGAAAAGCAACACAAGAAATGGCTTTTAAGTGATGATGCCTTGGTCATTCTTATAGGGAGAATATCAGCAATCTGAGGAAAACAAACTAACTGCTTATACCAATGTGGAAAGCAGGGAGACACTTTCATCAGGAAAGCTCCAGTACTTACATACAGTGATTCAATGTCTCCTTAGCAACCACTTTGTACACACAGATATTATTTCTACAAATATTTAATAAGTGAAGCAAGCCTTGAAATTCTGTCATGATCTGTAAGAACTATCCTCCAGTGTTGCATGTCTCTGATAGGTCAGTTGCACTGAATTTTGACCAATGTGCAACTGCAGGTAGTAGGTTTTGTTGGGTTTGTTTTGTTTGTTTTGAGGGGTTTTTTTAAGCATAAACAGTGTTTTGGGATCTGCCCTTCCACATGATTAGCTTTATGAATAATTTTTCAGTGTTAAGATTTATTTTATTGTTCCACATGGCATTTCCCAGAAGCGTTGAGCATTTATATAAATTAAATTGTAGGGTTACTGACCAACAAGTTTGAAACTGACCAACAAGTGCTGTGCATCTTTTTTGCAAGATTCCAGTGGTACGTGTTTCATTTGCACTGCTGCTGTGCAGAGGCTTTCAGGAAAGGGATACTTTCTAAGGTGTAATACTCACTTTTTTTCCTAGATGCCAGATCTCCCGAAGCAACTGGGTGTTCCCCTTTTCTTCTCCTAATGGCTATTGATACTGTAATCAAGAGTCAAAATTCCATTAGTGACAGATGACTGCGCTGTGAAACCCTTGCTCTCCTCTCCTGGGGAGCTGCAATCAAATTGTCACTGTTAAATAGGCTTTGTTGTCTGTGCCCTTTGCTCAATCCAGTTTCTTCAAAGAATCCTTCTCAACCCTTGTTCTGTTAGGAATCTAGTGTCTGGAGATTGTTATTTTCTTCTTCCAGCTGCCAGTTACTCAAAGCTGATGATGAAAAACAATAGCTAAAGCAGGAGATGGATTTACTGGACTTTTAAGTCATGCCCCTTGTGAAATCTTTTTACAGTCTTCTCTCCTGCAGGTACTGGTGAAAAATAAGGGAATGAAAATCTAGGTGAAGACCTTTTGTCCTTTTGAGATTCCTCTGTGTACAAGCACCAGAGGTGTTAAAGGTGTATATTCTTACAGGCCTGCCACTTAGGACTGGCATGCATGAAAATTGCAGTCCCTAGCTAATACCTAAAATAGTTTTAAATAACAACATTATGGGAGAAGTATCTGTATTTCTGTTAGCCTAAATAAAATAGTTCTTACTAAAGGTATTTCATCTTTGAAGTCCTTGGATGCTCTACCTCCAAGGTGTTCTTTAGAAAAATATGAGCTTCTTGAAGGGAAAGAATTATCTTGGTGTAAATATTTTAGTGATATGGTACCATTGGAAATGAGGAAAGGGCAAAAGTGCTTATGTTCAAACAATCCCAAATCTTCAGTGATTCTAGTGGTCCTTTTTAAATGATCATTTATATAAATTTAGTTTTATAATGAAGAGCTGATGTGCAGTTAAATGCTACAAGGAATCCATCTGACCTTTAAATGTAGCTGATATTAAAAATCATGTGGAACGCTGTCCTTTCAAGAAGGGGAACCAAAAGAGTTCTTAATAAATTAAATGTAAATCTTCTGAGTACACTGTGTATCAACATTTATTTATGAGCCTACCGTTTGAGAAGTGAGTTTTAATTTGAAGACTTGCTTTTAAATAAATGTTATTTTCTGCAACTGAAGTGAAAAATTTCCCTAATGGAGCTGAACCTCAAAATCCAGATTTATATTTGATAGAGAGGTATTTATTGTATTGATCTTAATACAGTCTTAATCATAGTAGAATTTCTTTTTTTTTTTTTCCTTAAAACTTTCTAATTTTGTGGATGTGGTTTGGTGGATGCATTCTGACCTGGCACTGAGTAGCTAATACAAGAACAACTGGACAGGACATGGATAAAAGAGAACCTGCGCTGTTTGACCACTCATTGCTGTAGCTGAGCCCTTCTAGTCTGATGTTGCCATATACATATTTGTCTATCTTGGATATATGCAGTGGCTAAAAGGAAGAGCCTACCTTTATCCAAGCCTCAAGTCCCAGTGTTGCCTGCCTCCATTTTAGATGTGGTGACTCTGTGTGCTACAATGTCTCCAGAATTGGGTTGGGTGTTTTGAAACCTTAAAATTTCTGTTCAGAAATTAATTTTAATACTTAATTGTCTTTTAATGATTGAACTGTGAGTCCTCTTTCCTTAGAGGTAAGGGTCATTAGGAATATCTTTGGTTCTTACACGTTTTTTGGCATAGGAGGTGCATCGCTGAGTTTTGTTCTGGTTTTGTTACCCTGGGCTGAATTTCTGACATGAAGGCCTCTGTGCTGTTAGCATAGAGTGAACTCTTGAACCCAGAAGAAGTAAAACATCTCAGATGTCTCTGTGGGATTGTTCAGAAAAGGATCTTCCATTATTTGTGATTTTACTGTAGGCTGCCAGAAGGTGTGGTCTTGCTGGATCTAGTATTGGTTCCTTTGAGTTTTTTGGTTTTTGTTTGGCTTGTTAGTTTGTTTTTCCTCAGACAGAGGATGAACTGGATCAGCTTGATGTTGCAGAATTAGTAGTGTCTTTGGTATGTTCAGTCAGATTACTGAGCTGATCCAGCTCCTCCAGTGCTGCTACCAGTACAGCTCCAGTCAGGCTCAAGGGAGAGTCAGGAGTTCCCAAGCAGGTGCCCCTTACACAGCAGCCTTCAGCTGGACTGGATTCAGATGCTAATCTACATGTTGCTGGGTTTTCTGGCTGATTTCTAGTTCTCCAGAAGTTGTGTGGGTGTGGTATTTGCAAAAATATTTTACTGTAGATAATGCTCCAACAGGAAGAGGAACTAATAGCCACTATTTTTCTTTTCAGCATAGTAAATTTGTTGTGACGAGAACTCTTTAATTGCTACTCTTTGTCTTAATTTCCCCACATATATATTTAGTTAGTAAATACTACAGGGAGGTTTCTTGTCTATACATATCTTGGGTTTATGATGCCTAAAGCTTTAAAAAAAAATCAAATGAACAAATTAACAAATCAAGTTAACAAATTTCCATGACACTTTTATCCACCTTCTTATAAAACATTATTTGTAGCCTGAATTTTTGGTAATATTTTATAGTATTTCCTCTGAAATGTTTGGAGCCTGACGTTTTCTTAGGAGTGGGCCACTTAAGCATGAAGACTGGGGGAGTACTGTGATAATGTGCTGGGGCTAGGCTGCTGGTGAAATACAGACACTGTTTACTGTGTTTACTGACAGCAGTGGTCCCCACTGCAAATAGTGTTTTCTGTTAAGAAAACTGCTGCTTTCAAGGATTTTTGTAACAGCAGTTCTTGAACAGTTAGCTGAAGAGTGATCTTTAAAAGTTCACTCATTTTGTAGTCAGCAGCATCTGAGAATGGAAGAGATCAATATTTATGCACTGTAGACCAAGAATGATAATAATAATATTTAATAATTTGAGAATGATTTAATTTTGTATTTTCCTGCATTTTTCTTTTTTTTTTCTTCCCTCTCCAATCTGACTTGCTGGACTTTTGCTTTTGTTTCCACAGGGGAAAGTTATGTATGTGGTTCCATAGAGCCCTTCAAGAAACTGGAGTACACAAAGAATGTAAACCCAAACTGGTCAGTGAATGTTAAGACAACTTCTACTTCTCGTTCAGTGCCATCTCTTGCCACTGCTAAAGGAGGTGCTCCAGACACAAAAGAGAATAAGGATTTCATTAGGCCCAAACTGGTCACTATCATCAGGAGCGGAGTGAAGCCACGGAAGGCAGTCCGGATCCTGCTCAACAAGAAGACAGCACATTCCTTTGAACAGGTTCTTACTGACATAACCGATGCCATCAAGCTGGATTCAGGGGTGGTTAAACGCTTGTACACACTAGATGGAAAACAGGTAAGAATTTTCATGATGACCATTCTGAGCATGAAGAAAATAGAATTTTCCAGAAGAAAAAGAGCAGTACATTAGCAGAAAAGAGTCCCATTTGCTTTAGAACGTACAGCCAGACCTTCTACTGCTTGTAGTGTACTTAAGGTCTGTGAGCAGCTCAGGAACACCATGGAACATTACTTGGCATTGGTGAAGGTCTTGCCATTTATGATAAATAATAGCTCTAAATCTGTTCTGCTGAAAGTGTGATGTGGTTTTGGCTCTGCACGCCGGAAACGTAGGATGAAGGATGTCACTTAAGCTCATTCTGTTAACTTGTTTCAGCTTTTTCTTGCAGCAGTTTTATGAGTCATTGCGCTTGGCTTTCCGTAAACTGTAAGAACAGTGAGGACGCGTTTCACCATGATAAATGCAGACCTACTGCTCTCCAGAGTGACTAAATGATGAATCTTATTGCACCTAAAATGGACAATGAAGAAGGTGTAAGCTTAGAACATTAATGAGCTTTTTTCCTTATTGCAGGAATAAAGGTAGGATTATGTGTGGGGCTCACATTTATGGAGGAGTCTCTTGTAGGTTTCATGTTATTTCTTCTGTGAAATACCTTCAAGCAGTGCCTCTTTTTTGCTGACTTATTAAATTGCAGCAGAGTGAGATTTTTGAGAGGCTTCTTATTGAGCTTGGGGATAGAGGGACACGAAAAAATATTACTGAATAATCCTACTTCTTTTTTGTCTTTCACTTTATTTGTAATTTTTCTATGGACATGTATTAATTATAGCAAAATGGGAGAAGCTCTTAACCTGCTGAAGGGCAAGGCTAATTTCAGCGTGACCTGAATTGATTTAGAGCAATGGTGACTCTAGAGAAATAAGGCAGATATTTGCATTTACAGATGTAACTTATTAAACCAAAGAAGTCTCCCTGAGAAGCTAGAAGCTGCTAGAGACCATGATATTTCTGCTGTAATACAGCTGTGTTTTTACAGATTCTGGGTTCAATAACGCACAGATAAGCAGCAAACAGTGTTGCTCTTGTGAGATGCTGCCAAATCTGTCTGATACAGGTAAATCAATGCTCAGCAAGATCTGGTGATGCCCTAACACATTTGCAGTTACTGGGCTGATGTGCAGGCATAGCTCTAGAAACAGCTACAGCAGTGCTCTCTGATCTCAGAGAGGGCTGTTCAAAGGACAAGCTGCTTATTCAGAGCACTGGTTCAAGTCAGGGCCAAGTTTGACTTGACCAGAAGTCTCTTCTATCTGCTGTTTTGTATCAGTAACCTCTGACACCAGTTACACACAGTAGTACAGTTCTTGGTGACTGTGTACATGCCTGTAATGATCTCCTTACTGTGACATTATTGGGAACTTTGACCTGGAGGAAAATGTGGATGTGAAATTCTGTTTTTCTGCAGCAAAATTAAAGTGTGTGTTGGGGGAAACCCTCAACTCCTGTTCTTTCTTGACTTATGCTCCAGGGAGCACTAAGACTAGTAAATTTGAGGAAGGAGTTGAGATTTTAAAGCTACAGAGTTCAGTGGTGGTTTCTGCTATGACATTGACAGAAGATCTTGAATGATTATTCCAGTTTCTGCAAACCCTCTCAGTAAAAAGGGAATACATATGCTTTGTATTTTATATGTAAATAAACTTGTGGTTTAGCTCTGAAGAAGTGCAGCCTGGAAGGATGCCCATGTGTCTCCTGGATAAATGTGCTCCACTTTTATCTTTTTGTACTTAAAACTCCCCTTTAATGATTGTGCTTAGAGCAAACTGAAAAAAAAAAAACCCCTTTACACCTGTTTTGGAACTCTAATTCCTGAAATTACCTAGTATTATCCTACTACTGGGGCAGAAAGGGTGACCAGATTTTCTTGGCCCTTATGTTGGCATAGTTCAGTTGAATCCTTTGTCAACTCATGAGTTTTGACTTGAGCTTAACTCAGTGGTGTTTTTGTTGCCTACCGTGTAGCGTAAAACCCTCGTGTCCAGAAGCTCTCCCAAGAGACCACCATCTCCACGCTCCTTCCCCTTTGGGATATACACATGGAATTGTGTAGCCTCCCTGGTAAGGTCAGGGTTTAGAGGAGGGTGTTTGTGTGTCCTGCAGGTGTAGCAGAGACTTTGCTTTCTCCATGTACAGAGCAGCTTTGCTGGCAGGAGGGGAAATGAATGACTGTGCTCAGCAGGAGCAGCCTGTTGCTCACCCCTGAGTGGGGAAGTCATTGATTTCCTGTGCTGCCAGGCAATTGCTGCTCCATTTTTCTTTGCCAAAAGCCCGATCTCCCAGATGGCGCTGGGGACACGATGATAGATTTTTTTTATTGCTAAATTCAAGCTGTGAATTATTACTGGGAGAAAATCCATGGTAAATCCAACATTTTTCCAGTACTATTTGTAGTTGGAAACTTCTACTGTGACTCCTGCTGGAGTTCTGAATGTTCTGGAAAAGCCTGTGTTGAGGGGCTAAATCTAACAAATCTGTGATTAAATCTTTCATCACTAACTTAAAAAGCATTAAAATCTTAAAGCTCTGAGTCAAGAAAAGTAATTTACTGTAAGGATAAGAGAATAAAGCTCTCCTGGGTTCATTCTTTGGGAATATAACTTGGAGACAAGCTATTTTGTACTGTCCTCTCTTCTGATTTTTTTATGAGGCCAATGCTGGAATTGCCCTTCTGAAGCAATAATGAATTCCCTGTATTGTTAGTGCAGGTGGGCAGTGTGGTATGTGTATTGTTGTTGGATACTATCATTAGATGCCCCAGGCTAATAAAAGAAAGCAGCAAGAGTCAGTGACTTGGCATTCAAGTTAGGTGGTTGTCCCATACTGACACTACACATGGAAAAATAATACTCCTAGGTACTAAAATACTTGTCCTCAGATAGCCTTGTTAGTTGTGATGTTTTGATCTGTATCTCTAAAATATATTAATAAACATTTTGTTCAGTTAAGAGGAATTTAAATGATGGCCTATAAAATTTGGTGACAATGTACAGAGTTTGTCATGATGAAAGAGGTAGTACTTAGACAATCAGAACCTCAGGAAAATTGCTGGGAAGAAAGCTCTCCTTTGACATCCTGTTGATTCCCCATCTCAAAAATTCCTTCCTGGTTTTGGAAAATTTAGTAAGTTTTGGTGCACATGATGATTTGTCAGTGGTTTTTAGAACTCCAAGACTTGATTAAGTAGGTGTGTTGTATTAGCCATTTCAACCTTTTAATTATGGAATAGCAAAAGAAATGTGTTGGGGGAAACCAAACCAAAAAGAAGAAAGTAAACTAAATCTAAAAAAAACCACAAGAAAGCAATCCTCAAAAAAAATTAAACCCCAGCAAATTTAACCAGTCTGTCTTATTGGGTCATTGGCAGTTCAGGGACTAAAACTTGATGTTTTCCAGTATTATTGGGTGGCTATTGACTTAGGATTTCATACATTACTTTAGTTTTATTACATAATAAAAAAAAAAGGTTTCTCCTTACTAAAAACAGGGTAACTAGTGGTTTATTTTCATTTCTTTATAGCCCATCAGAATTTGTACTTTGACATCAAGGTCTCCGAAGCCTTAAAATATCATTTCATTTGTGCTAAAAAGGGCACAATATACAACAGCAATCTGATTATAAAACACACCAATGGCTGCATTTAGCATACTTTAGCAGTTTAATTATTAATGATTCCTCAGAACTGGATAGGTTTCACATCATGTCTGGAATAGTTTGTATATACTTTTATAAATACACTTAATTTCCACTGGTATGAGGGTCTTTTTACTCTAGAGAAAGAGATAGAGATAGAATTACTTCCCTGTACCACAGTGATGCATTAGAAGATGGTGGGACTCAGAAGTGTTCCAGTCTTATGAGCACAGGCCAAATTCAAAAGCTTTCCAGGGGGAAAGCTTGAGGCGTTTTCCTTGCCAACTTTGCTATGTAAGGAAAATGAAAATAGAATGAGTAGGTGTAATGGCTGCCTGTAGGAATACAGATAATGAGGGCATGCTCTTACTATGAGCACTACTCAATTTTTTAGGTTAACCTGATGTTTAAGTTCATGAAGAGATATTGTCAGCGTTGGCCCTTAATATTATCACATACTTGGGCAGAAAAGAAACATTTTCTCATGACTGAAATGTGTCTTGCTTCTCTGTAGCTGCACTGTTCCAGTATGATTTCTAACCTTTCCTTAACAGAAGGTGGCATTTTTAGTTTGATGTGCATTAAAAAACATGGCCTTCTAAAAGGCAGTGTGTGGACAGAGTGCAGACACTGAGGACACAAGCTGTGTGTGGAGATAGAGCCCAGTTGCTTTGTTGCAAGCTATTCTCTGGTTTCTGTTTGCTTGGTGCACTTCTAGAATAACACCAATGACTGAAATGGGAGAAAACTAATCAAGGTCACATTTAACAGCAATATTGTGAAACAGTGCCCTTTTTAGAAGTATTATGATGTGTATATTTGTGCAGGGTATTTACAGTTTGCATGTTTGGCAAAGACTAAAGGTTGGACAACAGTGCTTTGTTACCTTGTACATCCTCCATGTGCTTTTGCAAGAACAAACATCTGATTTATAATAGGACCTACTTATTTGAACAGGTGGTTTGCTTAGCTTAACAAGATGCAATCATGCAAATTATTTTTCAGTATATGCATTATGCTGTTGATTTGACTTCAGACAGATAAATGGTCAGTGCCAGAAATACCAGAATAAAAGTCACTATCTGTTCTGTTATTTTTTTTTTCCTCATACACAAATCAAATTACCTTTACAGGTATGAAATACAGCCACAGTTACTTAAAGACATATACTTTACAGAAGGTACAGCGTGAGGCATAGGATGTCCCTCAACAGCCTTGTTTTAAGCCATTAAAATAGCGATTAAAGAATTGTGACTGCAAGGAAAGGGAACATCACAGTACTGGAAAGCCTGAAGCTTCTTCATTGAGTTTAATATGCTTTTGTTTTTTATTGGAAACCCTCTATAAACTGGGTATGTTA